TGCTCAAGAAGTGAGCACGCGTGTCCCTTAAGTTGAAACACTCTTTAGTGTGGGCTTGTAGGTGCGCCCAAGAGAACGGGCCAGGTTGCATGACGAGTTTAGAGTGAACGACTTCGCAAAGAAGTTCAAGAGGCCAGTAGTTGCTCAAGAAGGAGCGTTAGTCTGGTGCGATTATGTTCGCAAGAAGCTGCAGGCAGATAAGAGTCGTGCAGCGTATGTGCCACACGAAGGTGGCGTGAAGGCAGCCGTCTGGGTTGTCCGTTTGTCGCAAGAGGCGGCACGAGAACGTTACCCTGAAGGGTGGCGTAGTAGAAGTCTTGTGCAGTTTGTTTACTTACCACAGCAAGTGGTTTGAGAAAAGGCTTGTTGCAGTTGTGCGTGCCACGACAGGTGGCCTGTTGAAGACGTTGGCTGAAGGGTAGGGCCAACTAGAAGTGAGCCTCAGATTAAAGTGTCAGTTGTTCAGAGAACTTGAGAGTTGAAGCCAAGTGGGCTTGTAGCAAAGGCCAAAGTGTGCCCAAGTTTAGTATTGTGTTTCTGAATCATGCCTTGGGCCGAGTCCGAAAGCAGGGTGCCAGAAAATCCGCGAAAAGAGACTCTTTCATGAGCATTGTGCCAAGTTGACGTTTTGCTGCAACGCTGAGAAAAAGCCGAGTCAATTAGCCAGTCTGAAGATGACGTCATCGAGAGCGATGACGAGTTTAAGTGGGGGAGAGTGTTACAATCCTAACTCTTATCTTTGGATTGTACCCCACGAGTAGGTCATCGAGGACGATGACAGTTTAAGTGGGGGAGAATGTCACAACCATACTAGTAGATAGTAGGTTGTGACGCCCACGTAGTGTGCAAGTGTCAGCGACAAGCATATGTCGCCCATCGGGCCATGACGAGGGCCGAGAGAGAAGTGTCGTGATGCGACCAAGGAGGATGGTGCATCACCTAACACACCATATGGATGTGCTCAAGAATGCCTAGAGAAGGCGTATGCAGAATGCAAGGCGAAGGCAATGTCAGTGGTGTCGGTGACAAACTCAACAGGGGCCAGTTGGGGCCCCGGGCCATGACCCTAGAAGTCAGGGTTCCGTCGAGAGTTTTGACGAGCGGCTTTAGAGTTAGATGCATATTAGTGAAATATGTAAGCACGCCAAGTTTCGTGTCAATCGGAGTTCAGACGTGCGCTCTACGTTGGCGAGTGACTCCTCGCCACTTTCGACGTACATGCCTGCCAGACCAAGTTTGCCTTAGAATGTACCTTAGGGGGAGGCATGGTGTCAGCTCTCCACCACCCCTGGGCCCTGCGGCCAAAGTGAGCTACCCCATGGCACATGCGTGTGTCATGGAGTGGGCGAGCGTTGCAAGACCAAGGTCTTGGGCGTCTTCCTTC